AAGGGGCCTGTCTCTCCCCTTTGCTCGGTCTGGCGGCGCGGGGGCGGCGAGATCCGGCGGAGGCCCGGTCGGCGTGGCGCGCGGCGACCGTGGGGCGGAGTGGTGGTGGATCTGGCGGGTGCAGTTGCTCGCGTGCCGCCTGGGGGCTCCTCCCCTCTCCGCAGACGTGTGGGGGCGGGCGCGCGGGCCACGCGTGGCGGGCTCGGATCTGAGGCGGCGGCCTCTTCCGGTGAGCGCGCCTCCCTTCCGGCGGCGGGTGGGTGGCATGGATGCTGCGGTGCGCCTTCTTTGGCTGCTCGGGCAGCAAGGTGGCGGCGAACGTGGGGCTCGAGGCTGGGGTTTCCCCGCTGGCCCCGTGCATCGAGCTGAAGACGGCGTCCTCCTCTGCTCCTAGGTGCACCTCGTCCTGCTAGCCTGCTGTTGGGTGGAACGAGGGGGGCGTGGGTTCTGGATCCGGGGAAGCTCGTGGCCGGCGTCGGCGCCCACGATGTCGGCAATGCTCCGGGCATTGCTATATCGTGATCCTCTCCCTCGCCCTCCACCTCCGTGACCCGGGTGAAAGCCCAAAATCTCCTGCTTTGGGCGGCGGCGGCGTTCCAGCGCCGTCTTCTTCCTGAAGACGCCGCCTTGGGTCGGTGGAGGTGGTGGTGTGAGCTTCTGAGCATGTGGGTCATCGATTATCTTCAGCGGTGTCCTCGTTGGATGGCTTGCAGCAGGCACCATACTCTTTGTCGGAGATGATGTGATGGTGGAGGAATTGCTCTGCTTGATGGGGTCGCCGTACTTGTCGTCCTTCCCGGCCATCGTCTGGACCGGCTATGCGTGCTCAGGGGTGAGCAGCTCTGCCTACCGACGGCGTGGCGTCCTACAGCCCAGGACGAGAGGGCAGGGGGCCTTCTTTGGAGGCGGAGGCGGATGGCGGATCTGCAGTGATGGTGCACGGAAGGTGACAGTGTGGTCGTCCTCCGACGGTGACTTGTCTCCTTGGCTTCACCTTATCTATGGCAGGATGTGGAGCTTGCTGAGGGCTTCGATACTCAAGCCTTCGCTTGGTGCATTTGAATCCCGTTAGTCGTTCTGTAGCATTATGTATCTTTGCCGTTTTTCCTTTATCTTTTCTATTTGTTGTATGCTCGGATGTATTGTGGTGTTTATTGCTTTATAATATAAAGCGGGGAAAACCCTTTTTCTGCGTTAATTCATTGGCTTATGTGTCCAGGTTTAATGGATACCGTAAAACGAAGGCATACATTGAGTTGGTCAATCAACTGGCTTGGGGTCATTATGCTCGTTGGAATGTTGGGGTGGGGCCCATGGCTTCATTCACACGAGCCATGTCAGGCATGGCCGTGGAGGGAATCCTTGAGCACCGAGGAGAATTCAAACACGTGATAAAGGTGGATGTGAAGCCCACAGCAACGGCAAAGGAAGCCCAAGGAAGAGGCTTCATGAGCACCAAGTACCAGCTGGCCGTCGCTGCAGCAAAGGAGCTCGGCCTGCTCGACCAGAAATACAACAGGCTCAAGGAAGAGCATGACCAGCTACACTACTACACCTACGGGTGCTATGATGGCAATACCTCTGAATATTTGGCGAGTCACGTGAGGTACACTATAGTTCCTCAGATCATCAAACAGTTGGCAGTCGAGAGGTACTTGCTAGCGGTTGAGAACCTCCAGTGGCCAATTGAGCCTGGCAGTATTGCACGGGATTGCGGGCTTCCTTTTCCCGAGTGGGCAAATTCTTTTTGGCTCATGTCGACCACTTCTCATTATTCCTATAACAAGAGCAAGTCAGAAGGCGATGAAGTTATATCCATTGACAAAGATGAACAGGTTGTGGTGCTTACCTTCTATGCACTGCATCGATCGGCAGAGCACATATTCAGCATGATCCGCCAAGAAACCAAGGAGTACTGGCATCGCATAGCCCTGCAATGCTTCCACTATGCAATGGCAATCTTTGCCAAACATTCACAAGTGGTAGCTATGACCTCGGACGAGCTCATCCACCAGTGGGCCGCCCAGGGCATCTTGCCACATATGGTCATCAAAGAAGAAGAAGAAGAAACCAGCACCATCAGCAGCAAGTGTTCCTATGTGCATCAAGTTGGAAGGGTCATCCATAAAGCGTTTCAGAAATACTCTTTGTTACAGCTACCTTTTTCTCCTGCTAATGATGCTAATGAAGCGACCAGTACCGGCGCACAATTCTTAGCATACCATGGGCTCATTGCAGAAGGCATCACAGTTGATGAACTCTTTGATGACAAGAAGAAATGGATTTCATTCAGCAGTGACCATGTATGTCATGTAAGCCAAGAATGGCTGAGCCCAGAGGAAACAAAGGGGGCAGCTGCACTTATTCTAAGAAGCTGCTCGGATCAATCGCCAATTCTTTCAAAGCTGGACAATTTCTTGCCCAAACTTTGTTTTCTTCGTGTTCTCGATCTCTCCTACACTCCAATAAAAGCACTCTCTTCTTCCATTGGCTGTCTACGAAACCTTCGGTTGCTCTCACTAAGAGGATGCCTTGATTTGAAAAATCTTTCCAGCTCATCACCAAATACTACTTCATCATCACCATTGTCCACTCTATGCCAACTTGAAATTCTTGATACAAATGGAGTTCCTTTTTCTCATCTAACAGAAGATGTGGCGAACAAAAAGAGCAATTTGATACACCTCGACATGTCTTATTCTGAAATAACTAGTTTCCCTCTTACCTTTTTCCGAGACATGACAAGTCTGGAAGACCTTATCCTTGTCAACTGCTCCAACCTTGTGGAGCTACCTACTTCCATGGCTTTGCTATATGGCCTAACGTCTCTTGAGGTCACAGGAACTCAAATAAAATACTTTCCGCACAAGGTATTTGAAGAAACACAAAATCTACAATCTCTCAAGCTCATTGACAACAAGGAATTAATTTCACTCACAGGACCAATCTCTAGAGTTCATGAAATCAAATTGGAAGGGCATCCTAACCTTATATCATTCTTGCTGATTGGTGCACCTCGCATAAGGCACTTGTCTCTGCGTGGATGCATAAAACTTGAGTCCATCAAGTTCAAGAATCTGGATGCTTTGGAGGAGCTTGATTTATCTGGTACATCTATTGCTGATCTCCCGGCTGATATCATTAATTCCACCCGGCTTAGGCGATTGCTCTTACTGGGTGTTTCTTCTCTGAGGCGATTTCCTTGGCATAGGCTGGTGCAACTCCCGGATGTGTTTTACTTGGATCATTGTTCAGAAGGAAATACAAATCACTCTAATCAAGTTACCCAATTGTGTGTTACTGGCCCCATGTTCTTCCTTAGCTTCCGTGACACTGTTGTGGATTTAGTCAGAGCTGGACGGTTTTTCCAATCATTCTATGTTCAAGTGGCACCATACATTACAAATAGCAGACGTCAAGAAGATGAAGAAGACATGCTAGATTGCAAGTTGCAGGAGTTGCTGCAGAATCAATCAACATATCTGGATGTATATAGTAGCCGTTTTGCAAAGGAAATTGCAATTTCATCGCCCATTACAGTCCCCCTTCACCGGACTGAGCGTCATGTAGACATCACAAGGATGCAAGAGATACATGATGGTTTATATGGTCTCCTAAACGTCACCAAATCAGCATCAGTGATATGTGATACTTCGATCTGGATTTTTTCTTTCTTGAGCAGCTTCATGGAGCTAGAAGAATGTGAACTTCGTTGGTGCCATAAAATGAAAGGAATTGTATTTGACAATCAAGGCTCGAAAAAGCTACGCAATATGCATATCTGTAATCTCAACGGGCTAGTTTGGTTCTGTTCAGAGTATATTTCCTGTGATTTCCGTGGACTAGAGCACCTGCACTTAGAGGACTGCCCAAGATTGGAGCACGTGGTACCACATGGAACATCTTTACCATGTCTGAAGACACTTGACATCTTGTTCTGCTACAACCTTAAGACAATTTTCATCAGCAATGATACGCATGATGAAACTTATCAGCTCCCAAGCCTCCAAAGAATACGCCTCCAAGAGGTGCCACTGCTCCTGCACTTCCATGACAAGGACGCCACCATGACAGCACCGATGTGGAAGGAGCTCCACATCCGAGGGTGTTGGAGCCTCCGATGCCTCCCGCGCCTACAAGGATGCCATCCTGAGATGGTGAAGGTTAACGGAGAGAGGAGCTGGTGGAGCAAGCTCCAGTGGGGCTCAGCCGTGCACCGCGACAACTACGACCCCAAGCTTCCCCTGGAATTCGCCTCCTTTGATCAGTCTGCCGAGATGAGCAGCTACCTCAGATGAACCAACGTTCCATCCATCTATCAGTTGGTATGCTATTTTACTCGGCATACTTATCCCTTTGTTCATTAAACATTCATTACAGAATACCGTCCTGAACTCTATCTTTTTAACAGGTGTTCCATGATACGTCCGCAAGCGCCGCATTACTAGTTAATGTGTATATCTGAACCACCCTGGTTCGCATGCAAGATGATGCATAACAGCTCCAAAATATATGTCTCCAGGTGCTTCCATTGCTCCATCAGTGCCGGTGTTGAAGGAGCTCCCACGTCTGAGAATGTTGGATCATCCGATGTCTCCTGTGCCTACCTTACTAATAGTGTTCCACCATACACCATAGAGTGCCTTCCTCAACACTTATTAACAATGTTCCATCATACATCCATACCATAGTGTCCATCTATAACATACATATGCCACACACGTACATACTCCTTCGTCCGTATACACCTGCATGTCATCCATATGAGATTTAGAGTTTTTCTCCCAAATAAAATTCCAATTTTCCTGGTTATTGTCAACCAATCACTTTGTCTCCTGTGGAATCGGTTTTATTTTTTCTTGTTCCAGCACATTATATTGGAGTGCCCGCTATTCTATGTTGGTGATGTATGTGTAACCAAGTGTGGCTTGTGATTTGTTTAAATACCAAGTGTGGCTTGTGATCTGTTTAAGTACCAAGTGTGGCTTGTGACTTTAAGTGGCATGTGTATTTATTTGATTCGTGTGTTGTTTTATTTGTGAAGATCCATTTTAATATATGATGCAAGTTTTGTGGGTATTTTTCTCTGCCTTTCTACCCTCTGTTGGATAAGTATAGGATTTATAAAATAAAGGGAGCTGAGATTTGTAAACAACAGAAATGTTTTCTTCAGGTTAAGGTTAGGAAGCAGCTATCAAAATGGGTTGCAGATTTCTATGGCTAGTGTAACATGCCAAACATTTATCCCTGTTTTGCAGAAAATTGTCTAAAACTATTGACTAAACATTTATCCTTTGTCGACTGCAAAAATAGTAGAAAACTAAAGATTGCATCATTCAACAACCAGATTGTGTTTCAGTCAGTAAGAGGTGACAGAGCATATAACATACCATCTCCCCAGAAACCTTCAAAACTGTTAGAGTTGTGTCGAATATATTGTACAAGGTAGGTTACACTTGGACTTGTAGTAGTATTGTGTTTAGATAGGATATGGAGTCGTGTCCTAATATGACACTTGTATCCTAGGCCTCTCTTATATAGCGAGGATAGACACATAATGTAACCTATGCCAACATAATAGCAGAGGCACGCGGGGGAGCCGGCGGCGTGTGCCGGCGCCCGGGCGGCCGGGGTGTGCGGTATTGTAGCGGTGTCATGGGGAGGAGCACCCGTAGTCATGCCCCGGGGATGTAGCCATATCGGTGAACCTCGTTAACAAATCTCGATGTCGTGCCTTGTGTGATTGCTTGGTCCTCGGTAGATCGACGGAGCGCCTCGGATTTATTCTAACAAGTGGTATCATGAGCAAGGTTCGATGTCCGAGATTATGGGTCCGTTGATCTTGAGAAGAAGGAAAGCCGACGTGAAAGATGTCTGTGGTACAGCGCGTGTACGAGGACGATCGTGGGAAGTCGGTGAGTACAAGAAGCAGTCGGAAGTGCGAGCAGCAGATCGATCTAAAGCGGCGGCGGCGTGTTCCAGGGAACTTGGCGAGATCGGATCGGGTCGTGGTACGTAGCGTCGTGTTGTACGGCGGTTAGCGACTAGTCGTGCAGCGAGGTGGCGTGGTGCGGCCCAGGAGGGTGGCAAGGCCCAGTCGGGTTGGCGACGGCTGCTCAGGGCCAACTGCGTGGAAGCCGATCGGGTGAAGTTCAAGGTCAGCAGGTTGTGCTTGGGTGCAAGGCGAAGGGCTGGCGAGGTTCACCCACGGGCATGTGCAGCAAGGCTACAGCCGAAGTTGATCGATTTGCACGGCTGTGCAGTACCACAAGTTTGTGGTGTGGCCGTGTGGCGTTGACTGCTGAGTCGAAGGACACACACGAGATTTGTTGTGAAAAAAAGAGGCTACGCAAAAGACTGGTGCTATCCATCGGAGGAAAAGTAGGAAAAGCTACAGGAGCACGTGGTGAAGTTCTGGAGTTTTCCATTGATCTTCATGGTGAAGTGCACGGGAAGACTTATGTAGTGGAGTTTGGCTTTATCTCTTTGTACATGGTAGTGTACGAGGATGGTAGCGTGAGAGTCTGTGGAGTGCGTGGCAAGGACGACAACATGCGTATAAGCCTCAGAGGAGTCTGGAGCATGCCGTGACAAGGATCATGCATACACAGGGCGTCAAGCAATGCACGATGTGCGGAGGCGGACACGATGCAGGGTGAAGCATGATTACAGTCGGATATTTCGACTGGGTCGGACTAGACTGTTTGACGGATCGACGGAGATGTCGGTCAAAGCAGAAGACGGTGGTGATTTCAGCGACGATGACATAGGAGCGTGATGCTAATGGTGGCCGACTTCTGGGGCGTGGAAACACGTGGTGCAGGCCTGAGGGCTTGTGCGGTTTCGACAGACTATGGCGCGGGGTTGATTCAAGACGGTGCACATGAGAGCTTGAATCGACAGGGCGCGGGAGGGTGGCACGTACAACCACCATGGAGTCACGTTGAAGGTGGAGTAGGAGTCTGACGGATGACTACACTCTGAGCTGATGGAGGGGCTATGGGGTAAGTTAACGGAGAGTCGAAGCCTATTTCAGCGGAATAGCGAGAGACACGTGGATCAGACTGGGTACCAGTGGTCTGATGGAGACGTGATACTCGGCATCGGTCGGTGATGATCGGTGGTTCTCTGCAGTGGGGGTTGAGGCAGTATGGGCTAGCTACCCGGGAGACTCGACCAGGACAGCAGAGGCTCGACGCGGTAATAGCGGCGAGGCGTGCGGTAAGCACGGGACACAGCGACAGGCCAAGGCACTGGTGGTCAGACATGTGGTCAGGCAAATTGTGCAGCGGGTGCTGAAGCAGTGTTGACGAGTACCAGATTCGAGTTGGTGACTGGGTCTATCGGTGCCGGTTGATGGAGAAGAGTTGACCATGGAGAATCTGAGAAAGTGACGGGAAGTCTGGAATTGTCAAAACAGAGAGAGTACATGGCCGTATATTCTAGTGTTCAGTGCACATGGCAAAGTGCGGATGACAAATACAGAAGGAGGCGGAGTGCTATAGCTGTGGGACATGCCAGAGACTATCCGGAAGAAGGGTGAGACAACTGCGAATTTGACTCAGGGTGACACAGGGCAACGGTGAAATTCCTTCAAGTTCCAGATAAGCAGTCAAGAAAGAGCAGTGACGTTGAGTTCAGGTAACTCTTATATGTGGCGTCCAATATGTGAGTTGTTCATTTTCATGCAGACAGTGGTCGGTGTGTGATGGCGTTGAACGGATTCTCCGGAAGTTGGAAGCACAAGGTAGAGTAATGAGGAACTTAATTTTTGCTCGAGTGTTGACTGTGAAGAAGAAGAGAAGGGACTACAGTTGCAGGTGGAGACACGTGGAGTCTGGGAGTAGCAGCGGCGCTCATAGCGTAACTCAAGTCCAATGTACATGGAAGTTTGACGCATGGACAAATCCAGGGCGGTGGAGTATATTCGCCAAGGTGGAATTTGTTAGAGTTGTGTCGAATATATTGTACAAGGTAGGTTACAGTTGGACTTGTAGTAGTATTGTGTTTAGATAGGATATGGAGTCGTGTCCTAATAGGACACTTGTATCCTAGGCCTCTCTTATATAGCGAGGGTAGACACACAATGTAACCTATGCCAACATAATAGCACAGGCACGCGGGGGAGCCGGCGGCGTGTGCCGGCGCCCAGGCGGCCGGGGTGTGCGGTATTGTAGCGGTGTCATAGGGAGGAGCGCCCGTAGTCATGCCCCGGGGATGTAGCATATCGGTGAACCTTGTTAACAAATCTCGGTGTCGTGCCTCGTGTGATTGATTGGTCCTCGGTAGATCGACGGAGCGCCTCGAATTTATTCTAACAAAAACGATTCCTTCTAGAAGGCAAAGGACATAAGTGGCCCCGCCACCATCTGATCCAGAGATCATGTGGCGCCGCCACCGTCGGATTTATCCTAAGCTCTGCTTTTTAGTTGTAAAGTCCAGAAATTCAAGTGGAAAAAGAAAATCTGCTTCAACGAACGATTCTGTTTGGAGCGTGCTATCTGCAGAACATTATACAAGCTATGTGTTATGATTTGTGTTAAAACGGTAATTTATTCGCAATCTCAGTTAGAGGTACATGCTATTATTATTTTTTAGGAGCTACTCCCTCCATTCCTAAATATAAGTCTTTTTAGAGATTTCACTATGGACTACATACGGAGCAAAATGAGTGAATCTACACTCTAAAATATGTCTATATACATCCGTATGTAGTCCCGAAGGAAATCTCTAGAAAGACATATATTTAAGAACTGAGGGAGTACTTGCTATATACTCCCTCCGTTCCAAAATAGATGACTCAACTTTATACTAACTTTAGTACAAAGTTGGGTCATCTATTTTAGAACGGAAGGAGTAGTAGTGTGTTCTTAACAGAGACTAGGATTTCCGAAGATTGGTGAGTCGGTCAAACCCTTAATGGCTAATGCTGAAGCAGCCATATATGGATCCATCACTTAATATATCTGCACATCCACTAGACAAGATGCTCTTTCATAGCCTTGTGGCTGCTTTCTACTTCTTCTCGCGTTACTGCTGAAATTACTCCGTTTTAGAGGCCTGTCAGTGTGCGTGTACCATCAGTTGATTCAGTTTTTTTATGTCTGTGTATGGGTCAGATCTTTATGTTTGTACGTGTGCCATCTCAGTTGATTCAGTTTTGCAACTTACATTCAAACCTCTGGCCGAGAAGTCTCAGTTCTACATCTTTCTTGTGATTGTATTGTCTGTGCGTCATCCACTGCTCTGCAGTCTGCGCCTCTAGATTTCAGATTATTGTTTGCTTGACATGCCATGA